TTTTTTTTTTTTTTTTTCAAAAACACCGGCACCCCGAGGATTAATATAACTAAATAATAAAAAAATGTCAGTAATTAGAAGTCGAGCAGGCGCGTTTCTTTCAGTAGATTCTCCCCACGCGTAGAATATACCGCTCACTTCTTTTCGTCTCCCACTTTGATATACCGCTAAATTAGGTTTACCCTTTTATCTGTCCAACAGGCCTCCAGTATTTCTGTTCAACGGGTGCACGTTGACGAGGTATATTAATTTAAAAAAATATAAAAAAATGATGGCAGTGTAAAGCCTTGTTCACTCGGCGTGTGTCTTGGAGAGCTTGGTCTGAAACTAGTATTGTCGGAAAAGTCAACTGGACGGATGGCAAGCCTCAATACGGCGTTCCCACGATTCCTTGTGGTATGTTGCAGTTGTACGGGTTTATTCTGAACTGAATTCATTTTTCAACATGTATAAATCAAAATAGAACACAGTACTAGCGTTGATCTTGGCTCATGACAATTGACTTCATTGGGTGACAAATGGCCGCTCGGGATTCGCCAAGCCAACCTTTACGCGCCATGGGATTGGCTTGAGGTTGGAATACGACAGATCGCAAATCCGTGAGTACGCTCGTCAAGCCACACGCAAAGGGTACAAGGAAGGAACATTTATACTTAAAACATTTCTCTAGCCCAGAAACTTCAGGTGACTGTTTTCCATTATATTGATCAAGAAAGCACAAAACAATTTGCAATGTCTAAACGGGCGTTGATTCAAACCGACATCTCTTCAACTCATTTTGATTATGTTCCCATCGATTTTTTTTTGGCCCTTAATAAAACGACTCGAAGTGAATAAATAAGAGTACTTATCTCATAAGGACGACATCGTGGTCTAGTGATTATCTGGTGTTTTTTTTGTTTGTTTTTACTTTATGATTGACCTTTTGCTCTCCTACTCCAATATCTTTTTCTTTTACTTTCTTTATTAAAGATTAGCCATATTTATTTTATAACATATAAAATGTAACTATTCACACAAAAAATATTTATTTTTGCTTCCGAAGTACTGAAGCTAGGGAAGCTTTATGTTCTTGCCGGAAGTCGGAAATTTTTTTATCCTCTAAATTCAAAATTTTCACTCGCATTTTGCGTTTCAGACCTTCGTGAACAAATTTGGTTCCTTGTCTGTCTGTCTTTTCAATTACTTGTAACCGGCAAAACTCCCTGAGACCAATTTTTGTGAAATTTTCGGAGATTGTGCGAGATTGTGCCGGTTGGTTTCTAGATGGCTCCCTTTGATACAATCGCATCAGAGATAACGCCTCCGCATAAGTAAACGTAAAATCACGTACACAGCTATACCTCCGAAACCGTTAGTCGGATTCTTATGCAATTTTCAGGGATTATGCGCGAGCAGGAGTCAAATTATCCTCATTTTGGAAACACGGCCGGAACTATGGTTCCGACAAGTGGAAGCCATATTCTTCACGGCAGGAATAAATCAGGAACTCTTAAAATTCAATTATGTCATTATGGCTTTGGATGTGGACACAGTGGCGCTAATATCCGATATTCTGGAAACTGAACCTTATAATACAAACTCTAAAAACACCTGTGGTCTAGAATACATCCGACAGAGGGACACGAAACTTCGAACCCTCTTGATGGATATGCATCTAGGGGACGAAAAACCTCCGACTTTTACGTACAATGACGGATTTATCTAAAGGAGCACTCAGAGGACGCCATAAAAAGTTTATAGGTCCAGCGGTAACTCACCAACGTTCAAGCGGTTTTATCGGTGAGCGTGGGTAACGATAGACGACCGCAGTTGGCTCGGTTGGCCGACCGTGTTTTGGAAATGACCTCCACCCCTACAATTTGCTGCGTCCAGCAAGTGGACTCCGCCAGAACAATCACGGAACTCGCACTTACTGACATTCAGCGTCAACTAAACGACATGCATGTGCCAATCGCAGCACTTTCCCGGAATACAAGGGCGGAACACCAGAGGTACAAACAGCCCCAAGAAACACTCATAACTGCTTCCATTTTCGAGTAAGTCCGAGGAACACAACCACTTTATGTTGGTTTTACTTGCCTTACGGTGAAGCTGCACACAAATGCATTCTCCCTGCGCCTACACCTCCACTAAGCAGACGGAAAACTCATCCCCATCAATAAAGGCGGTAAACGATGAGGCGAATACCATTACCGCCAGCCTTGCTTATATGTTACAGACCGTTACTTAGTCCACACTGCTACGGCATTATAGTAAGCCTGCACAAAACGTGAGGAAGCTATACTGTTAGTAAGCATGCACAAAACGTGAGGAAGCTATACTGTCCATTCACTTGGCAGAGTTTTTACATCACATTTGAACTGAAATTCAAAATTGCTTGCAGAATTTCCACGTTCCAATGTGAACTGCAGATTGGTGGGGAGCGGGACCTTTCCTTGTGTAATCTACATTTCTGTTGTACCAACCTTCAGGGCTGGGCATTCCAAAAACAAGTGGTTGGCATATCCGATTTGCTGCATTTGTACCAGTGAAAGGTTGTCATTAAACCGTATTCTTGGCATACATACGTAGGATTTCCTTTTGTTTACTTTTTCAGACCATCGTTTTTTCGGGATATACTTGTATTGCACCATAGTATTTTCCGTTAGACCGCACGGATTTTCGGGGAATATAAGAATACAGCTCCGTAACTTCGCCACCCCTGCTTCTTCGCTTTGTTTTCTTTTAAATCTCTATGCACATTTTTTGCGTATGAAATTACAGTGCTCTTAAAAACAAATAAATACATCGTAGCACTGTAATATATATGAATCTTGATTAAAGCCACATGTCAAATAGTATCAGTTGTATTAACAAAATTCAGATTCTGGTTAAAATGTAGTAATTTGATTGTAAAATTTAAATGATGAATTGAAGGGACTAGCTTGTAGTTGGACAAGTCTGACTGAAATGGACATTATTAATAAAATTCGAAAAGTAAATTGATTTTGAACCTTTTTCACAAATATAAAGTACATTGCTAATGCATATTAACAAGCGTTTTTGTAGAGTGTATCGAACATTTCATTTTTTCGATTTGGATATCGGTATGTACATTTTACACAATAATTATACTTTAAAAGCGTCTGTTCATCTGTGCTTATTTTAGACACATGTGGTGATTGGAAATCGGGATAAAATTTAAACGAAATAAAATAGCAATATTTTTTTTATTAATAAAGGATTGCACATTTAATGGATAAATTCTATTAATATTTTCTTTATTTTCAGGTGAGTTGTTTTTCATGTTAACGGGACGATTAGTTTATGGTAAAAGTAAGTAAAGTTGTTTAAGAGGTATGAATTCAACACCGATCATTCAATTAGTGTTGATATCCCGAGCCAATGCACTGTATTTTAAGCTTTTAATTAATAATGATTGTTTAGATGGTTTAACAACAACTTGTTAAATAATAATAAAATGATTTACAAATAATAAAGCCAAAAAGGCAAAGGCGTTGTAGGTTTACTTCAGAATAATTAACCTACACCGTATTCCGAAGAAGGGAAGATCCTAAATTGCCACCACTTTTTCAAAAAAATAAAAATCTCCCATTTTAGGTGAATTAAAAGAAAATTGCAAACTTATATCGTCACACTACTATAAACAATAAATTCACTCATCATCGACATCGATCGCTGATCACTGATAAATTATCTCTGTTCTTAGTGATAGTAAAATATCGCAGTTTTCAACTAAAAACGAACCGATTTTCGAGTCATCAGAAATCTCCGCCCTCGTATGATATTGAACCGAAAGAGTACAACCAATTTGTTCTCTGTCGACCTTCCAATCGCTAAATCACCGCTACCGCTGTTTTTCCTAGATTTTAAGTCCGTGAAAAAACAACGAATCTGTCTATAACCTCAATCACTATATCACGCAAAAATTAAAGTGGAGTCTCTTAAACCAAGAAGAGCGGCGGCCCGTTGACTTAAATATCACTTTGGTGTGTTAAATGCCAAGGTAGCCATAGTTGCGGTAATTAAGGGTTAAATTGCGTGAAATTCCCGTAATTGAACAACTTGACATAAGAACAAAAAGCCTAGGAGTGTTTTTAGGTTCGGCGAAACCTTACGACAAATTATGGATTTCAGAGTTACTAGAAGAAGGTGCACCTTCTTCAAATATTGGTCTCAATTTCATCTTCGAAGCCAATTACCATCGTGGTATCGAGTGTCGTCTAAAGCTACTTTCTGTCCGTAAGACAAAGCGGGGTTCCTAAATTTAAAAACATTAAGTCTAAAAGGGGGGGGACTTTGTTCGACCCGCGGGGATCGGGCGAATGGGTGCCTCCAGAAACATGATATTTATCAAAACGTGACAATACAAGTTAAAAAAAAAAAAAATCAAACGATATGAGGTCGCTTTGCTACATAGCTATTTTACTGTAATATCAGTTCTTTTATAGACTTGGCCGACTTATATTTGCCCAGCCGCGTTTCGAGATAAGATAGCACGATATAATTTTTGTTCTTGTAAACTTTTATTCCAGAAAAAAGTAAGCCATGTTACGTATAACATACGCTTGAACAATGTTATATTATGTTCAAGTTGATTTACACATCTTGATGGATCTTATGGATTGAAATGAAGTAAATCAGAAATGTACAACGTGAGTTTAATTTCTCTGCCCCCCTTTTTTTTATTAAATTATTTGGTCCCTTTGGAAAAAAAACCCGAGACATAAAATTTAATTTTTTGTTTAGTTTATCATGAGGCAAACGTTTTATATCTAAACTTATGCTTCGGTTGGACGAAAATTCTATTAAGCCGTATTAAATGATTATGATATATTTTAGCGCTAAAAAGAGTTGTTGTCGTCATTAGATTATGTACATTTGTAGGTACATGATGATGATGACGATGAAGATGAAAGGAGACTAGGCAGTGGGAGTTTATGTTTCCCAAGTAGCCTTCTGGCTGCTTACCTAGTTCGTCTGTTCAATCTGACGATTCGATCCTTCTTGTAAGGACTATGTACTAGGTCATTGACTACCGTTACTCTGGTTTTTATTTGTATCTCAGGTTGTCTCCATTGAGCGGTCGCTTCGAAGTTGATATCGGTCGCGATTTCTTCCCCCTCATCGCACAATCTACAAATGAGATCATTATTTAAAATGGCCATGTTATGTAGATGTTTTCTCAAATGCCAGTAAGGGGAAATAGTCCTATCACTCCTCCGAGTTTACCCCTCTCTAACTGTAGCAGTTTGACATAGACATAGATACATTCACAAATTTTAAAATAAGTGTGTCCATAACTATGTTCGAATGCCGACATAGCTTTTGGACTGTTTAAGAACTGTAATACGGTTCTGACCCCTCGTTCGCGACACCCAATGTAGTTGTACGTAGCCATCAAACCAGTGAGACCCTCCACACTTGAGCCGCATCGTACATCGTCATTACCTTAGTAAACGTACTAAATTTAGATTGAAGGATCGACCGTTTTTTTATTTGTAATCACTTAGGGATTGTTAGGATAGGAACCTTAAGGATTACGATATAAAAGTATAAATAACATCATAGCATTGAGTACGGAAAAATCTCTATTTGCGAAAAACAATGATCGTTTCATAAAAGGGCCCAGAACGAGGGGGAAGGGTTTGCCACAAGGGGGTTTCCTATCTCCTCTGTTGTATGCAATGTATGTGAGGGGAATTGAAGAAAAAAATACTGGAAATAGCGAAAATTTTACAATATCCAGATGATATTAATTAATTAATTCGATTATTCTTAACAGGTTGTTTTCCACCGTTTCGGAATACCATAATTTTTGACATAGCTAGTTAACAGGTTTTTTAATTTCTTGATTAAAACAAGTCTCTTTAATTTAACACTTTACATACACACACACACGGTTTGGTACAATATTTTGCTCATTATTTAAAATTGTTTAATAAATTTATGTGTAAATCTTTTACATGACATTTAAACCAAAACATTTATTTTTTTATTATGAACTGTTACACAATTTATTTTAGGGAGGCCTAGGGGACATTGCGTGATCTTAAGCCGGCTCACGTACGTAAAAATCCCAGCTTGATGGGCTCGAGTCACAGGTATGGGCTGGTATCTGTTCGTTTACGAGATTACATATTTTAATCGCAGGGATTATTGTCACAAAATCCTTTATGGTTTTTAAGTGCAAAGGAAATGAAGAAAATAATTCCCACTATATTTGAGTTTATGTGCATCCTTAAAAAGTATATACACTTTATTACATTTACTTTCATAGAAATTTCATACTGTAGTTAATTTTGGAAAATAACTTCCTACGGAGTTTATCTTAATAGTTATTTTTTCAAGTTCTCTTAATTGCTTTCTCTAGGGGTTATTATACTCGGATGAACTGTTGTTTTTACAAAATGTTATTGATTCCTCAATTCCTCGCAAAATATTTAAAATCGTGTTATACAATATATTTATTTTATCTTCCATTAAATTTGTATTGGTGAAATTATTAAATTTGAAATCCAAATTAATTGAGGGACTATTTAATTGAGCATTTTTAAAACGGATATCCTCAAGTGTTTTGCTAAATCTTCCTTCCATTGTCGGAGTATTGCGCTCTTATATGTTCCTCCAGAATAATTTCTTTATTATTTTTATTCTTTATTAACTTCTTTACTAAATTTTCGATTAGCTTATCGTATGCATCAAAATTTCCAGTTACTAGGTTAACTATTCTCCCTAATCCACTTATAAAGTCCGAATTTTATTATTCTCTTATTATTTTCATTGTGCTCTTTAATAAATTCCGATTTACGTTAAGGATCTTTCTGTTCTGATTAATTATTTTAAAGAATTTAGAGAATGCATGTTGCAAAGGTGTTTAGTTTACTAAAATCTAACACTTTTGTATACTTATTTCCTAGCCTTATCTATTCGTTATATTATTATAATATTATATTTATCTTTATCTTTTATTTTTATATTTTCTTTTGATATTTATTGTTATAATAGAGTGAGTCATAATAATAAAATGAGCTTTTTTCTTGCTTTAAAAATAATTTTATTTTGACACATTTTTTTTTAAATATTCAAACTATATATCGTTGTTTTTTATGGTTTACTTTCTATCTCGAGGATAGTGTTGGATTCCTTCACAATACCACTCTTTGGGTTTTGAACCTCATCCTGAGGAATTTTTCCTTGAAGACAATGAGCCATAGACTCGAACATGGTAGTAGAAAGGTGCTAAGTCTGGACTGTAAGAAGGATGAGGGAGAAGCTCAATTCCATCCAATTCTGTAGTTTTTTCGAGTAACGAGAATTGTGCGGACGGGCGTTATCTTGTTGAAACAAAACGCGATTTCTATTTACTAATCCTGGGTAACGGGTTGGTCAAAACATTACACATTTTTTGTAACTGCTCACAATAAAGTTTTCAGTCAATGGTTCGACCTTCTAGAATGAATTCATAATGAAAAAATACCGAGAGCATTGTCTTTTTGTCTAATTGCCTTGTTTAGCACTGGTAGAGCAGGCTGTGTGCAGTCTAGCCATTGTTTCCTAGTCTTGAGGTTTCTCAAAGATATCCACCTTTCTATTCTTGTGATGAACGGAAGGTCCTTTGGGTTTTTTAAAATATGTTGACAAATTGAGTTGAAAAACTCGTCGTCGTGCATGCTCAATGGTCAACTAATGAGGAACCACTCTTAATGAGCGATTCACTTTCCCCAAGTTATGCATTCCACGATTTATGGTGGATTGGGAAACTCCAAGCACTCTTGCCAATTACCGAGTACTTTTCGTTGGGTATGCCTCAACAGAGACCCGGTATTTTCGTTTAGAACCCTCTTTCCTTCCTCTCGGGGCTGATGTCACCGGCTTCAAATTCTGGGACCATTCTGTACACGGTTCGTTCGGAGAGAACATCATCTTCAAATTGCCGAAACAAACGCTTACTTACTTTTCCAATAATGTCGTAATATTTCCAAAATTTCAAATTTTACCGTCATGTTGTTTAACCAAAATCTAAGACAAAAATGATGGCAAGGCGAGATCATTTTTTTACATTTTCATTTAGTACATTCTGTAG